TATCTGTGTTCACCACGCTTGTTTCTACAAATGCCCCATTCATCAAGGAATGAAGTTTTCCCTTAAGCTTGTCATTGCCACGTTGAAAAATCAAATATTTCTTTGACAGAACGGAATTTGGTCCGTTTCTGAGACTGTAATGAAATGTCCTTTGAGTTTTGAGAATCCAACACGAGTATTAATTCCGCTTGTCCTCAAATGCTTTCTGTGAATATCGAGAAAGTCCTCCCTTGATGAGTAATAAGGATTATGGTTAATCTTGCAGTGCACAAAGGATTTTATTGTTCAGCAATATCTCTCCTTGTGCGGATGTTTATGAAGCTGAGTGAGACAGTGTATGAGAAAACATGTTGTAGAGGAAATTAATACGGCGATTCATGTACATATAAAGGTGTACTTTTAGCTTGAACCATTTTATTTGATGTTTTAGTTTTTAGTGAAATAATTCGTTATTTCCCCATCTGTTGCAGAAATCTTTTCTCAGAGAATTGTAAGAATTGATAAAAGGAAACATAAGAATAAATGGGTTAATAGATGAACCGACATTTTGTTTATTAGAATAAGTGAGTGAGTTTAGTTTTTACGGCGCACTGGGCAATATTCCAGCCTCTATGGCGGATGTCTGTAAAATAATCGGAGTCTGGCCACCAGACACGTCAGTCATCAACAGCATATTGCATCGATCTGCGCAATTGGGAAGCGATGACATATGCGTCAACCAAGTATAAGCGATCCTGACCACCCGATCCCATTTGTCGCCTAATAACAAGCATGGGTTACTGAAGGGTTTCATTCCTAACCCGGACCTTGAGCTGTTTGTTTATTGAGATGATAATTCCTTAACCTTTCATACGTCACCCAGTTATAACCATGTATGCCGTGAAAAGGTATTTGTACATCAAACACATGACATTTCTTTAAGCCCGTGAAGATCCGGGTTAGAACTAGTCTTCAGCAACCCATGCTTGTCGTAAATGGCAACTAACCCAGGATGCTGTTGATCACTGGATTTATCTGGTCCAGACTCGATTATCTACAAACCCCGCCATATGGCTGGGATATTGCAGAGTGCGGCATAAAACAAGAAACAAACATACAGACAAACTACACAAACAAACATAAAGTAAACCTGCATGGTGTGATGTACCTAATACTGCATTTCTCTGCTTGGTGTCGCCATGCAAATAAATGGAAATGATATAATTGTGGCATTATCTGGGTGTACGTTGATTGTAATTTGCAATCGTTTTATCATCAATTTTAACACAAAGAATACACATGCATAGCGATCAGTGAATTATGTAATGGGCGGAGTATATCAAAAGATACATTTTGGTGAAATTGGAAATATTTCATAATAAAACGCATGTAGAAGGTATATTTCATAGAACAACGTGATGTTTCCTTCTTTACATTTGTAAATGTTGGACGTCGGACAAACGCTTCGTATTAACGTCTTAAATAAGACGATTTCGACACACATTTTGGCCTAATGTTTACTTCACAATGTCATATAGTTTTATTTAAAATATACCGGTTGTAAAGATAAGACGTAGTCTATAAAGTTTTACATGGATCCATTGGGCCAAGCAAGTCTCATATCATACCATTATCCAGTTATATAAGCATAAGATAAAGGAAGTAATGCATGCTGGAGTCAGGTTTTGCATCAAAGATACCACAATGCATGCTGATCCAGGTTTTAACAAGAATACAACAATGCAGCTGATCCAGGTTTTAAATAAGAATACAACAATGCATGCTGGCCAAGGTTTTATCCGATGTAATGTCTTCAGGGTGGTCCCTGAGTTCAATCTTTCAAAGCTTGATTGCCCTTTTGGCACACAATTAGTCCAGCGGCTGGAGCACTCCAACTCCAGCAAACTTCTGTGACCAAACATGTCGTGTTGTTTATGTTTAAAAACATCTGTAACCTGCTTACAACATCTAGCATGGCGTGGATTCTCCATGACCTCTCAGGATTTTTGTTATGAATTTGGAAATGGTTTTGTAGATTTCATTGAATATTGAACTGTCACCAGCAGAACACAACGAGAAATGCTGGACTTCCTGTGCGGGATTTCGTAATAGGACGTTGAGGAAAGAAGTGATTAATGTACGATAGGCATCCAGTTGTGGTCGGGTAGTATTAATGATTGTGGCAATCTTTGAAGCTAATTCTACAATACACAATCTTTGTATTGATTGATTGGATTTTTTTCCGACCAACGAAATAAGTACAAAGACACACATGGTAATTTTTCGTTATGACCTGATGAAACTTGCTAGGACTGCAAATTAAGAAACACCAATGAAGCCCTTTACAGGCACATCAGGTTGCGTGACAAACTTAACCCTCCGGAGGACATGGATGACGGCAATCTTCATTGCAAGCATGGAGAGTCTGACTGCGATACACTGACGTTGACCATAACCAAACGGAAGCCAAGCAAGTGGGTTGATGCTGCCCTTTCCATCTGAAGACGAACAAAGAATGAATTATACTGTTACAACAGCAAACAAATACGTCATTTGTGATACTGTTGTCTTCGACTGAAATTGGCACTAAAACAGATGCTTTGAGCAACATCATCTGTTTTCATTCTTCTTTGTGGGGAACCAGATTAACTATGGCTATATAATGTATATATTACACAAATTTATCACTCTTATCCTCTACATTCTACTTTAATCATGTTCCTGAACATCACAATACATTTCGCCAAGTATATTACATTTCTCAAACATTCAGTATATTAAAGATTTATCTCAATGCTAATATTTCTTCTGGTATATCTGCTCTAGCATATCATTGTAATGCTTACTTTCATCCACCATATTCTACTACTTTTGTTAAAATCAACCATAGTGAGTGAGTATTTAAGTCATATCGGGACTATATATACGAACGTAAATGATACATATATACCTGACAACAAAGGACAGTAAAATAACTAGAATATCACAGATTTATATATACTCACACGCATAAGAAACGCAAGTTTTTTTTATCCAAATTGGAAACTAATTCGGAACCCTAAATTGATATGAGTTTTTGGCATATAGTGAACCCTGATGGTGTTATCAATAATGTTTGTTGCGTTTTGGAAGGCCCGAGTAAAACACATCAATAGAAGGAATCACCCAAACGCACCATACAAATGAACATGTGGGTATCATGCACACACTTCTCGTGAAATCGAACATGCACGAATTGTCACCACAATTAGTGGGTATAAGACTGAACAAAAGTAAAATTTGGTCTGTCACTCCTTGTTCAACAATGCCACGCTTAACTCAAATTGTAAGAAACCAGGCTATCGGACGTTTGGATGCTGGATCTCCAGACTCGATACAATGCAATCCTTGGAGCGGTCATCCTTGGATCACCACCCCTAGACAAGATCGACACATTACCCGTCAATACCAGCGAGTTCCGTTCTTGTCAACCCTTTACCTTTCGAAAACTTAATGATGTCATCAGTCTTGCTAGCCAATGAAATATCTTCACTCAATGTTTTGTCTAGTTGACCTGTTTGTATTTCTAGTATTTAATGTTGAAAATTACATACATACTTTATACTTGACCTGCGTTACATTTGCCTGTGAGTTTATAAAACTAGCACTTAACCATAACACGGTATTTCTGTGCACGACACATTACAAAAACGGGCAATAGATTACCAGAAACTGAAGGCAGATCACCATACCAGGGACCATGTGGACTTGCATGCTACCTGCATGGACCCTGATATATTTACACCACCTCCTTAAATGTCAGCGATGATTGAGAAATTCAGCGAAATCAACCATAACTATTAATGATAATATAAATCCAGACTACTGCTACGTCATCTAAACACCTACCTTCTTCATCCACCACGATTGTGACTACTACATGACATAAGAGAATTGAGGTGTACCAGGCATTCGCCATTCGTTGTTCGGAGCGGCCGATCATGATCATGGATTCGAACTCCGGTTCTGCCCTGTGTTTCTTCTTTTGTTCGCCCCAAAGATGTTAACATTTCTAAAGCATCATCTCTTTCATGCTGTCACGGGAGCCGATTGATTCTCATCAAAGCGCAATCAATGCAAACTCACTCACTCACTCACTCACCACTTATACGCATGTATGTATGGCTACTAATGAACTGAAACTAAAATCTTTGGATTTACCTACCGATCGGGCTGGAAGGTATCTGGCTCATCAAAGTAGTCTGGGTCTCTCTGTATCTCCAACAATGGTACGATAACAGTTGACCCTTCGGGGAAAGTGTAACCCTTGATGGTAACTGTGTTTGCTGTTTCTCTACCAATGCTACAAGAAATCCAAATCCAAAGATGAGTAAATTGTTGCTGTTGGACAAGATGCAGGTCTCCGTAGAGTTACCTTGACATTTCATTGTGAACATAATTTATAGCCTATCTATGGTGTCAGTTGTAGATACAGCCGTTAATTACGCACGTAAACGGAGATTAATGCATCAAAAAGTAAAATTGTTTTTTCATGAAATAAGGCCTTTATTGTGTAAGCAAAAGTTATCACTTCGGAGATTATGGCATGACTCTGTTTGATCTTGTAAAACATGCAAGAGTCTTCTTCACAATAATCTGTCTTATATATTGAAGAAAGCTGCATTAAAGAAAGGCGCGCTATTAATTCAGTTATCTCGGTTGGTCAAAACGGGATCCTTTTACATATGAATGCAAGTATTAATACATCGTAAACGGTGATCTTATGGCTGTGAATTACCACATACTCTTCATACTAAAGGTCTTGTATGTATGTATGTATGTATGTATGTATGTATGTATGTATGTATGTATGTATGTATGTATGTATGTATGTATGTATGTATGTATGTATGTATGTATGTATGTATGTATGTATGTATGTATGTATATGTGTGTGTATGTATGTATGTATGCATGTGTGCATGCATGCATGCATGCATGTGTGTGTGTGTGTATGTATGTATGCATGTGTGCATGTATGTATGTATGTATGTATCCATCCATTCTACTTACAATGTGAAAGGAGGGTAAAGGCGGAGAATCTCCCTGATGACGTGATCAAGATATTCCATCTTCTGTATTTTGTCACACGTCGGGTCCTCCTGCAGCAAAAACTGATAAATGTGATACTATGAAAGTGATAATATCAGACATTTAGAAAAGGAAATACTATCTCCACTGGCGTCAGTCGTTCTTCCCTTAAGGCTGGCTGATCTGTTCTTTATTCATACGAGTCAAAATCTCGGATTGGCCAAGTCTTAAGGGAAACTCGTCAAGACGTTTAACATGATCTATCATATGAAAACGTTCAATGATAGTTATGGATCAATTTTCTTCCTTTTCTCTACCCACATGAACTAGAAATTAAATAGAATAGGCTGTCTCCTCTGATTCCGAAGACCCGGGTTCGATTCCCTGCATGGTTATATTGTGTGAAGCCCATTTCTGGTGTCCCCCGCCGTGATATTGCTGCTTTTTATTTGCTGCTTTACGCCGCACTCAGCGATATTTCAGTTATATGGCGGCGGTCTGTAAATTATCGAGTCTGGACCAGACAATCCAGTGTTCACCAGTGAACATCGATCTACGCAATTGTACGTTAACATGTGTCAATAGTTGGTTGATGTTTAACGCAGAACTTAGCAATATTCCGGCTACATATGGCAGCGGTAAACAGTAGAGTCTTGACCAGACAATCCAGTGATCACCAGTGAACATCGATCTAAGCAATTGTACGGTCACATGTGTCAATGGTTGGTTGATATTTAACGCAGCTTTTAGCAATATTCCGGCTATATATGGTGGCGGTCTGTAAACGTCGCGTCTTGACCAGACAATCCAGTGATCAGCAGCGTGTGCATCGATCTACGCAAATGGGATACGATAACATGTGTCAGCGAGCCCGACCACTCGTGCTGAAGACCAATTCTAACTCGGATCTTCACGGGTGTCGAGGAGGAATGACACTGATCGTTACGACACAAAGACACTGCTATCCCTTGTTGTTGTTGTGATGGTAATGTATGATAAACAGCCGGCAGAGAACACTAACTAGATTAGTGTATACATTGACATCAACAGGTCACATCTAAAACCACCTTTAACGGATAATAATAAGAATCGCATACATCACCGATTACTGAGTGTATTTCGTCAAACAGCTTCTTCTGGACATCGAGGTGAGTAGCCAGGGCATGGGCAAGGAACGAGAGGGGTGTTGTCAAGCCTTCAAAGGTAGCAAGGAAGATCATACCCTGTGCATACACTTCATGGTATGACACATCTGGAGGATAAAAGACTGAATAAATCTGAAGTGTAACTAAAGAATAACCAATATTTTTCACCGGGAGGCGACACAAAATTATGATCGTCAAGACATTTCGGATAACCCTGTTTGAATTTATGTGACAAAATACAAGTAAATGTATATTATAAGTACACAGGCATACACGTTTACACCGAAAATTGACAAGGAATGCGAAAAAAGAGACAACTTGAGCTTTTACTCACGGTTACATGAACGCCTGGGTGGTGTTCCTTCGTGAACCTTGTTCTCATCTGCGTCAATCAGTATTTGTAGAAGGTCCATGTGTTTCTACAAAATGCAAGCTCTGGTACGATTATGCTTTTCAAAAAACATTATAATGGGACGGTTTTGTCATGCAATCAAATCTACTATCCCAAGAACTTGATATGGACATTTACTTACTTGAGAATCTGGTTGCTTTTGCCGTTTGTCAGTGATAGATTTTATAAATGTTCCCAAGAAATGGAGAGCACTTGTTTCAAATGCATACATTCTACAAATCCTCAGCAGTGGTTTGATGACTGGAAACGCAGCTGTGAAAAACAGTGATCATAAATGTGTCAGTTACACCGCATTAAAGTGTAGTCCCGCATTTGAACAAAATGACTTTCGAGTTACAGCATCTTGAGAAAAAATCTTGTATTTTCAGTAAATGGACCTGACGCATGCTTAACAATGGCTTTAAATTATTCCCGAGGTTAGACTCCACCTTTTCACTCATTCCACCAGACTGAAATTAAAACAGTTGGAGTGAGTGAGTGTAGTTTTAGAAGTTTTAGAAGACCCGGGTTCTATACCCCACATGGCTCCATGTGTGAAGCCCATTTCTGGTGTTCCCGCCGTGATAATACAGGTCCGTTGTTTGTTTGTTTGTTGTTTAACGCCGCACTCAGCAATATTCCAGCTATATGGCGGCGGTCCGTACATAATCGAGTCTAGACCAGACAATCCAATGATCAACATCATAAGCATTGATCTACGCCACTGGGATGCGATAACATGTGTCAACCAAGTCATCGAGTCTGACCACCCGATCCCGAAAGTGTCCTCTTACGACCAGCATGGGTTGCTGAAGATCAATTCTAACCCGGATGTTCACGGGTCTATAAAAGTGCGGTTAATTATGAATGGTTCAATCAGGACAACAGTTTCGGCCATAACATACATCATTGTTATATATATTTGTGTTAACGTAAACTGTCTCATGCAAAGGCTGCAATATTTGTTCTACATCAAAAGTTTGAATGCATCCCGTCTCTTACCAGATAGTAATAGTAATTTAAACTTGAAGAATCCGCTTGCAAACATCTGAGTCATGTTGATGACAAGAGGGTGGTTGAAGTCTTTCTGCGAGTTTGTTTGAACCCCAAAGGGTTGTACTGGCAATTGTGTCCAAGACATACGGAACAAAGTAGCTGATAAAAGAGCGTAGGAATATTTCATAAACCGTCAGTGTCACATAATCATCAGTATGCCCTAGAGCATTGTTATACTGTTAGCTTTTGCAAGACTAAGTACTGTCATTAATGTGGTGTACTGTGAACGTTTCATATTTACATTTATAAGAAATGCTGAAGTTGCTCACAGATAATGTGACATTTCCGTATAGCATATTAAAATAAACGTGGGCATCAATTGGTATCGAATTACATGTAAAGCGACAAAAAACTTTCCATAATCCTATTAATAACAGCAAAACCTTTCCACATCCATATGAAATCACTGTTTATCTAGAGCAGAATACAATTCCGACTCTACGATGAGTTTGGGTATGCTTAACGCAAAAATATTTAAGGTGTATGACGGCAGTCCGTTAATAATCGAGCCCGGATCAGACAATCCAGTGATTGACATCATGAGATACATTTACAGAGCAAGTGTTTATGAATCACTCTCAACTAGTGATGTTATCGGCTATTCTCAAAAAGACCCTATAGCTATGTGTTTTGCCGGTGGCGCCCGTCATAAACACACGCAAAGGCTAGTCAAATGCCACCTGGTACACAATAGAAAATTGCATCAGACATATGTTTTGCTGCAGATGAATCAAATTTTGAATTGTCCTCCGCGTGTCCAGCTAAAAGCTTCCTGAAAACTCCTCTGTGAGCAGAGTTCATTGTATAATTCCAGCTACATGTACATCATGAGTAGGTGTTTTTTTAATCGCATTCAGATAGTTATACTACCGGGTTATCTCGAGTCCCAACCGGCGACGCCTGTCCCCAAAACACACGCTAGTCATGGCAAAGTCAGATGTGGATTGGAATATAAACAGGAACATATGGTATACGTACAACTATACGTTGCATCAGACATCATTTTTACCTTTGAGTGGTCAAATTTAGAATGTCCACAACACGTCTGTCTCCAAACCTGTTGTATGTTTTACTGAGGGCGTGAATTGAACTTTGAGCAAAACAACTTTTGAACACGTATGAAACCGTGATGAAGTATTTGATAAACATTCCACGTAATAGAGCCAGAACTCTTTTCACATCCAACCACACTTATGTCAAACCTCACAAATTGGAAAGTGTATGAACCTATATTGTAATCATAACCATTTTGTTGAATGTTTGATCATAGGTTTATCATTTTCTACGTTGTACATACTCTCTCACACAACATGGTTCCTGTTTCTCTGCAGCCACGCCAAGGTTCGCTGCTAATCTTGCTGCTACTGCGTTGATCTGCTCACACATCTGTAATAAAGAACACAGATTACTCGAGTTTCATAACGGTGTCTGGCATCAATTATGTCGCTACTATGACGGGGACGTCCATAATTAACAAGTGTGTATATACTTTGTTAGCTGTTTAACGCCGCACTCAGCAATATTCAAGAGCTATATGGTGGTGGCCTGTACATAACCGAGTCAGGAACAGTGAATCAGTGATCAGTATCATGAGCATCGATCTACGCAATTGGGATACGATGATGTGTGTCAGTCAAATCAGCAAGCCTGACCACCGATCCTGTTAGTCATCTCTTCCGACAAGTATGGTTTGCTGAAAACCAGTTCTAACCCGGATTTTCACGGGTGTATGAATATATCTGAATATTCCTTGACGTACTTACATGTCTAATTTTTGATCCACTGAATGCTGCCGTCATAATCCTCCGCAGTCTATACCACTGGGCATCTCTGGAAAAGCTAAGAGCTGACTTAAATGCAAACGGATTCACATCTATCACTGTCTGCAATAAAACAAAACATTATAGAAGTGTTGTTTTCTTCCAGGCATAAATACACCTTACACCACGAAGTACTATAGAACACAAAACAGGTTCAGTATTATCACTGACAAGGTTCAGCATGATTAGAGCATATATTCCACACTCCAACCAGCCCGTTTTCAGTTGATATTCTGCCGATGGTAAACTCCTTTATCGTTTACAGATTTGTAATATTATTCCTGTCTGTAGAATAACAAAAAAAATGTACAACAGAACCCAGTGGGAAATTCGTCAATGCTGTTTGAGAATCATAACTTTTAGTAGCAGTTGTCATTCACTATTACCCACAAACTGAACAATAGGGCGTACGGCGACAAGAAGTTAAGATATATTGTTATAAAACATACCTTTCGATTTGTAAAATTGTCAATTTTTTTCACAAGGACTTCTTTCAGAATGTCCATGTCATGCACGATTATGAATGGTTGAGCCCCAACGTACAGCCTGAAAACCAAAACACTTAAAGTCGATTTGAAAGAAGAGCAATTGCCAGTTTATTTCATGTAAAATAATGCTTCAATACAAGGTTCATATACAATGAATATGTGTTACCACTGTCTTCATGCTTGAACATTTATATTCATTCCTAGAGTTTACTTTTGATAGTTTTAGAAGTGTGAAATTATGTCATTCAGTTTTCAACTCACCCGTACACTTTAGTTAGGTTGTATACATTTATGTACGACTTACAATTTACGAATTTTACCATCAATATTGCAAAATGAATATCCAAATTGCAGATATGATTACTTATAATTAACTAATGTGTTTATAAAACCAGTTACATTATTTGCAAATTGTTTGAAGTGTCCAAGGAATATTGTTGGAGAGGGTCCTGGTATTCCAGCGCTAGAAAGAACTCGCAGGCGCCAGTTTCCATATCTGAAGACAAGTAATTACTTTTAGTAGGCTTGGCGCAGGTGTGTAACTCGTTATATGTCTGGCAAAAGGATGTTTGTTTGTTTGTTCGTTTAACGCTGCTTTATTTCAGCTTTCGACTGATACCATGGTCATCTTTGTTTGCAGTTGGAATACAACTCATCAACCATCGTGTTAGTTGTCTCCTCCAACAAAAGAAAGCTTATTCTTGGTGATAATTGCAAAGCTTAAGCAAGCAGAATCATATAATTGGATTCTAACAACTACCCGCGAACAACCCTCACGGTTTCGTGCCGCTTTTAGCAATATTCCAGCAATATCAGTCACCCAAACAGTACCCAAGTGGGGAATCGAACCCGGGATACAAACGATCGCTTTAACCACAAGGCTACACCAACCGTGCACATTCTTAAATCAAGAATTTAGACTTTAATATTCCCCATTTCTGGTGTCCCCCGCCCTGATAGTGCTGGAATATTGCTGAAGGTGGTGTAAAACTAAACTCACTCACTCACTTTAACATGCATGGACTTACATGTACATCAGCAGAAGTATGCCCACGACACAGCAAACAGCAGGAGACATGTCACACCACCCTGTCACATCCATGGCTAAAAGCTGCATATGCTGCAAACCTTTCCGTAGAAATATGCTCACTGTTTATATCAAATAGTTGGAACCATATTAAGTAAATATCGTCAGGGGGATGCTGTTATTGGCTAGCCTGTTAGTTTCCAGATTGCCCACAGACTGTAAATCCAGTCAGGAGACAACTACTGTGATTCATACATGTGCCGTCCAATGTTGAGCATGTTGCGTTTACATCGTTTAAAACTTAAATTATATTTCCACGGATCGAAATAATTACATCGAGATTCAATAGTTCGTCAAAGGAATAAAATAATTTATGAGATTACAAGTATTGATCTGGCACATTCGATTCTGGAATCGGGTGAGGGCAGTGCCTCAATGTCCAGATGTGGATATAGCCAGTGTTAGCACTTGGATACAAAACATTAAGCAATGTGAAATGAAGCTGGTATGAAACGCCTCTGGCAACCTTTGTACAGCTTGCAACTAAACGATTACTGCCATCATGGAAGGTAATGTGAAATTCGTCATGAAAATATTTGTTGTTGATACCAGTCTCCTCTGGTGCTACCTATAATGAGACTTGAAACAGCAGTCGTAAGCTAATATAGTGGGGCGGATGTTGCATTACCGATAGTCTGTGTGTTCATTGCATGAGTGAGCGATTGAGTGAGCGAGTTTAGTTTTACGGCGTTTTAAGCAATATTTAAGACATATCGAAGCGGGGGACCCCATAAATAGGCTTCACTTATTATACCCATGTTGGGAATCGAACCCGGGTCTTCGAACGCTTTAATCACTAGACTACCCCACCGCCTCTCTGCTGTATAGAAGCTGAATGATGCACTGGTTGAACGGAGGCGCACGGTGTTGTTACGCCTGTACATACACTTCACATGGCACTAGTTCATATGAAGGTCGTTCAAAAAGTAGTTGGCCTCACTTAGAAAATGATACAAATGCAGCTGTTTTTTATTCTTCTACATATTATCTGGCAACCTCAAGCAAATTGATTTTGCTATGTTCCAGCCTCACGATCCCCATTTTGTTTGAGTTTTTATGTTGGTACTCCCAAAAAAGCAAAATCTGCAATAAATGGATCACAAACTTCAGGAAGCAAAATATGCAAGCAGTATTTTGTGTGCTTGAGATAGGAAGAAGTCCGCTAGACTCAAACTTAGACATTAAAGTGCATAAAAAAGCAATATGAAACTACAATCGCTTGTCAAAGTGACTCCCCCTTCATGTTTACTGAAAGAGCTTGTTTTGGAGACACTACCTATCCCCTTTCAGATGACGTAATCATAAGGACATAATTTATTCGAGTGTTTTCACTTATTCATACATGATGCCAAGGGTTCACTTTAACTACTGAATGGTCACACAAGTGTCAGTTCTCAATATATTGCAAACACAATGTTTTTGAACTTTTGAAAGACTAAAATGGGGGTGTCATTACAAAACACACACAAACACACACACACACACCGAGCAAAATATAAATCAAGCAATTCAAATATGTGACTGTTGATTATGAAGGGGAACTCATCCAATAATATTCAGAACATATTTTATGTGGTATTATTACCCACGTGGTCAACGTATGGGTAGTTGCATATTAATCTCGTACGCCACACGAGTGTCGTATCGCGTTGACCTGTGTCGTAACGACTTGACCTGAAATTCTAACAATTTGATTGGATAACCGATGACCTCTCAATTAGGTCACATTCTGACGTAACTATTTTTTCATTCATAACAAACACGTGAATTCATTCATTCTACAACTTAAATGCATTGTGGGAATGTAAACATTGCGAACGTTGCCCTGTCGCTGTTTAATACTGTGTCGAACTGAGACATTATATCTGTCGAAAAACATAAACGCAATGTTTCCACCAGTGATGTTAGCCGAATGAAGCAACGGGAAACCAAGAAACGAGGTGCAACGGAGTAGTTTACTGTAGGAGGCTGTACGAGGCGATGACAACTGACAACTGACAAGCATCGTGACGTCGGTTACCATGGCAGTGACCTCATTAGTGTGACGTCATGCAAATATTGTTCTACAGTACAAAACTCTTCCGCAACCTCTTTATGAAACCAAAAACATAACAAAAATACGCTATTTTGTCATTTTAAATGCATGTAAGACGTGGGTAATAAATAAAATACCACACTCGGTCTCATTACATACCAATTATACGAAACTCGTGACCTTCCTATGTTATCTGACCTCGCTTTCGCTCGGTCAGATACCATAGGAAGGACACTCGTTTCGTATAATTCGTACGTAATGAGACCTCGTGTAGTATTCTCTATTTATCTGAGGGCATACCATAATCCAAGTGTTACCAAAGTACAGGTCGTTTTTCATTTTTTGCAATTTTGTATAGAAAGTATACCTCAATGTGTTGTGATGACTAATATCTCGTTAACCACATTACCCATATGGCTTTGCTAATATCCTTCAAAAATACTTTTCAAACATTGGAAATCGAGAATATAGCTAGGCTGACTACGTTTTGACCGACCCTCGTAAAATATCACTTTATCAACAACATCTGCTAACTAATACGAGAGTAACACACTGCAATGGGAACTTGTGAAACATCATATGATTTGTGTAACAGACTGCATTATAAGTTGAGCAAACGGCTATTTATTGGAGTGTTTTAATTTCCCATAAACGGAACGAAACTAAATGCACACATGAATAATGGAATCTGTAAAACGTTGATGATTAATGTAGTCCATGCATATGCTCCTGTATTAGTCGGCGACATTAGAAATAAAGTGACAAAGAAAACCAATGTACACATAACGCCTTCATTCCACTAGCCTGTGATTAAAGTTCCAGTCGCTGGCTCTGGTTTGAAATATGTTCCATGAAGGGTTGTAAATTGATGTTTCTGCCAAAGCCCCTCTCCTTAATGTTTTCGATTTCCCGGGAATACTGTGCTAGTTTTAGGAGCCCCTGTAGGAGCCATACACCTTTGCATGGGACGTTGCTCACACTATCAGTCACTGTCTACCTGATCAAAACTGAAACATATAAACTCAGCAGCAAAAAACAACGTCAGTACGAATTCAAAATTAGAAACTGAAACATTTACTTTCTGCAGTAACGCAGTTGACATGTTTGTGAATGTGTTTTAAAACGAATTCCACTGAGTCACAGACATGTGCCAACTAAACATACTAGCAATCGAGGTTAATAAAACATTGAAGTTTCAAAATGGTACCCGATTCGATGGAACACCACAATATGGTTTGTCCTCGTGGTGGGTGCTGGGTAACGCTAATAACACACTATCAGTCACTGGTCTACCTGATCAAAACTGAAACATATATACTCAGCAGCAAAAAAAGCCCCCGTCAGTACGAATTCAAAATTAGATAGGCACTGTAATCAAATCATTACAAAAATGGACATAATAACTGGATCAAAAACATTTTTTGTGTAGACATTACGTGAACGTTTGCAGTCCATTCAGACCCTTGACTTCAGAATCTAGTGTGACCACCACGAGCGGCAATAACTACAGCACAGTGTCTATTCATGGAGTGCACCAATCGATTGATGAAGGTCATTGGCATCTGGAACCACCCTCTGAGAAAGACATGGCGCAATAAATCGGCTGTTTTCGGCCTTGGTATGACAGTATTCATTCTCCTTTGAATTTCATGCCAAAGATGTTCAATTCGGTTTAAATCAGGACTAAGGGCTGGCCACTGCATAATCTTGACATCGTTCTGCTGCAGGAAGTGCCGTGTAGCTCTGGCAGAATGGGCCCGGGCGTTATCATGCTGGAAAATGTTGTTCCGGTGACGTACGAAATGTGGTATGACGTGGGGTCTTATAGCTTGGTCGATGTAGCGCACCGCTGTGATGCCGCCTTTTCTCCCTGGACCAAGGCTCTGGAACACCACAGGACCCACTCTGTGGTCCAGGCCTATTCCACCCCATACCATGATGCTTGCACCTCCCCATGAGTCTCTTTCCGTAACACATTGGTCTGAGTACTGCTGGTCCCACCGTCGCCATATTCTTGTTCTGCCATCTGCAGTTGATACGCAGTACCGACTCTCATCTGTGAACAGAACAGTTCTCCATTGCCTGTATCGCCAATTTTGGTGTTGTAGGGCAAAACGTAGACGTTTACGCCGAGGGGTGAGGATAGGTCCACGGTAAGGTCCACGGCAATGGAGGTTCCCGCTGTTAAGACGTCGACTTAAGACGTCGACGTAGTGTATCAGTACTGATTGGTCTTCCGTGTGTTCCCACTGTCTGGCGTGCTGTTTCAGATGCCTGCATGAAAGGATTCTCTACATGTTGTCGCACAACATGACGGTTTTGTCGTCTTGTGGTCACTCTTGGTCTGCCAGTACGGGGCGATCATTTGTGGTGTTGGTGGCCCGGGAACGTTGCTGCAGCCTGCAGATGGTCCGAACGTTGACCTGGAAGTTAATGGCAACGGCTTGTGCAGTGTGGCCAGCTTAAAGTCTTCCTAGCACCTGGTTCCTCTGAGCTGTCGTGAGTCGCGGCATCCTGCTGACGTTGTAATTGAATTTTTCAATCATTTTATAGGGCTGGTCCTTGTGAACAGCACGAGCAGCATGAGTTGCATGAAACACATGGAGAACACCGGACCATCTCCGTGATCAAGTTGCGTTTTTTTGGACCATTTCCTGGGTTCCATTTGGGAATGAATGTCTTTGCTCAGGTAAAGTTCGAGATGATGCCAAAAATATACAATCAAAACATTAAACGAGTTTACAGTTATCCGTTTCTGCGAAAGAAAAGTCCAAACTGACGTTTCTTTTGCTACTTAGTATACTTTCCTCAGTAACCCAGTTAACATGTTTGTGAATGTGTTTTAAAACGAATTACACTGAGTCACAGACATGTGCTAACTACACATAATAGCAATCGAGGTTAATAAAACATTGAAGTTTTACACCTGTTGCGTTTCTAACATGGTACCAATTCGATGAAACAGCACAATACTGTTACACCTACACACCAGGGGCCAGATCCAGAAAGTTGGTTGATTGTTGTTGAACGCCGCACTCAGCACTCAGCAGAATTCCAGATATATGGAGGGAGTCTGTAAATATTCAAAGGTGGACCAGACAATCCAGTGATCAACAGCATGAGCGGCGATCTAAGCAATTAAGATACGAGTGAGTGATCGAGTTTAGTTTTACGCCGCTTTCAGCAAGATCCCAACTGTATCACGGCAGGGGACACCAGAAATGGGATTCACACATTGTAGCCATGTGGGGAATTGAACCCGGGTCCTCGGCTTGACGAGCGAAAGCTTTAACCGCTAGGCTACCCGACCACCCCAATTGGGATACGATGATATGTGTAAACCAAGTCAGCGAGCCTGACCACCCGATCTCGTTTGTCGCTTCTTACAGATCCGGAAATGATTTCGTAGCGATACGACCATCGTAAAACCTATCGTAACCTGTGCGTACACACAATCTCAGAAGTATCTGAAGAATACATTAAGGAACTATTTTTGCCGAAGACATATGTAGTGTTTAACTAAACAACAACCAGTCTTTCAAAGAGAAAAACAAATTTCGTTAAGTTAATGGGGATAATATTGTTCGAATCTGTTGCAAAATACATGACCAGGATTGCCATTGGTGGTGTTGGTTACCAAATCATGCACATAATCTCACAAGCAGAACTGCATGAACGAACCTAGCTTACTCAAATAATCCCCATTCAAAATAAGTGTTTTTTGTTGTCCGACGTCATACAGAGGTATCCTTGCCTAACTACAGACCGGAAGACTCCGTGAGTCGGGAACAAGTGACCCAGTGGTGGTTGACCAGAAGTTCCATTGACACAGCTGTGCATTACTGTTCTTTGCTGGAGCAAATATATGAGAAGAAATATTGTAAAGTTAATTTTATTGTATTGTTAGTAGGATAGTTATGTTTAGGATTATTGAAACAAGTGTACTTATTCAAATTTGTAAAGCTGATAGATTTGCTTAAATGTGTCATAAAGTTCAGGGTAATAGACTATTTTCAGAGTGTTTCGTAGTATATGTAATAGATTAAACAGCAGGTGCTTCTATATAGATTAAATAGTGAGTGAGTGAGTTATTATTTAACGTCACATCGGCAATATTTCAGCCATATCGTGACGAGAAATGTTTTACATAAACAATAAATTAAAGTTGCTAAATAATCAGTCATCGAAGGACTGTAAAATAACTAGAGTATCACAGATGGAGTCTTAAACTAGCATGAACATGTAAAACTATTTTATTTACGAAGACAATACAATATAAAAACGGGCTATAGATCGCAAACAACTGAAGGTAGATCACCATACTAGGAACCATGGGGACTTACATTACTTTTGCTACCTGCATGGACCCTAACTGAGTTTACACCATCCCTTCAGCTGTTGGCGATTGTAGGAAAATTTAGCCACAATTTAAAATGACAAGAATACTACGTTTAAAAACACAGGACGTGAAACTTTCACTTTGAAAGTTTTTGGGACATACGTACCCTCTCAGGAGGACAATATTTTTATGCTACTTCAACCCCCCTTGAGGGTACAACCACTAACAATCTAAGTTACTAATCAAAACTACCAATTATTAAAACATCTATCTACAGAAAATATTTATCAAAATTCATTAATGAAATCAATTTCTTTTCAAAAAGAAGGAATTAAATGAAGATGAACAGAATTAAAAAGATCCTTAACAGTTTTAACATTGAAATATTTATCCCTTATGATGGAGAATTGAACACAGTCAAGCAGGAGATGCTTGACCGTGATTCTTTCATCACAAGGGATACAAAACGGAGGATCTTCACCTTGTAACAAATATTTGTGAGTGTACCTTGTATGGCCAATACGACATCGTCGCATGATGACCTCTTCAAATCTGGACGGACAACCCAAGTAAGTGTAGCCAATATAGGGTTTTATTTCATGTAATTTATTAATACCTACTTGGGTGTCCCACTTCTTCTGCATCAGATCGCGGATGTAAGTTCTAATGCTAGCTTTGTAATCAGAGAATGGAATAAGAATTGGTGTCACAGATTTGTTGAGTGCTGCCTTTGCAGCAAGATCGGCCATTGTATTCCCAGAAATGCCAACGTGGCTGGGTAACCAACAAAAGACGATGTCGCATTGGCCAGTAGCAAGCTCATTATACATTCCAATAATTTCCAATAAAAGAGGATGTTTACAAGAAATATTTTTAATAGCCTGAAGACATGAAAGAGAATCGGAAAATATTATGTAGTCTTTATATTTACGGTGTTTATTAATATATTGAAGAGCTGTTAATATGGCCTTAGCCTCTGCTGTGAAAATAGAGCTGTTGTTTGGTAGTCGAGATGATATTGTTCGGGATCCAATGACAGTGGCACAAGCCACCGCGCCACCATCCTTGGACCAATCTGTAAATAAGGATTTGTATGTATTATATTTATTTTTTAATTGATTATATTCTTGTTTGTATTGCAATTCATTAGTTTCAGATTTCTTAAACTTTGTCAGAGTTAGGTCAACTTCAGGCCTGACCAGTTGCCAAGGAGGAGAAGAAACGGGAAGGAGCTATATTTTCCAGCTCAATGCCGGCAGCAGAAATTAATGGCTTAATTCTGTGCCCAAGAGGCGGAACAAGAGAAGACTTTTTGTTGTATAAATCCTCATAAAGAGGATTGAAAACACAGTTAAATGCAGGATTAGACTCGTTAGAATAGAGTTTTGGTATATACTGTAATGATAATTTAATACGACGTTGGTTAAGGGATGGCTCATCAGCCTCAACAAAGAGACCTTCAATAGGAGAGGTTCTAAAGGACCCAAGACAAAGTCTCAGGCCCTGGTGATGGGCAGAATCAAGTAGTTTTAGGTTGCTGTTGCAGGCTCCACCATATACGAGCCATAATCAAGTTTCGACCGGACCAATGATCGATATAGGTGGAGGAGGGTAGCTTGATCCCCTCCCCACTGTGAGTTGGTAAAGACTTTCAACAAAGCGAGTGCCTTTAGGCATTTAGCTTTAAGGGTTTTAATATGCAGCAAAAATGTTAAATGGGAGTCGAAAATTAGACCCAAGAACTTGGCCTCCTTGACAACTTTGATCGGAGTGCCATTTAAAGATAGTTCTGGGTCTTTATGCAGCTTATATTTTCTACAAAAGTGTATACAGGTAGTTTTGGACTTCTGTACTTCTGTTTTTACGGAAACCACATTGTATATCTGTTATGAGGTTATTGGTTTCCAAGTACCAAACAAGTCGATTATTTATCATGCGTTCCATGGTCTTGCAAACACAGCTAGTTAGTGAAATTGGTCTATAATTCGAGGGATCAGTATGATCACGTCCAGGTTTAGGGATGGGCACAATTATGGCATCGCGCCACGACGAAGGAAAATTTCCAGATGTCCAAATGTCATCCAAAATTTCTAAAAGTGTCTCTAAACATGAATCTGGTAAGTGCTTCAGTAGTGGATGATGTATACCATCAGCTCCTGAAGCAGTATCGTGAGCCTGGTCAAGAGCAGTGTGAAGTTCATGTATCGAAAAGGTTTCATTATAATCTTCCCCATTATCTGAAGTAAAATTAATAGATTTCTTATCTAATGTACATAATTAGATGATGAAGAAAGTCTCACCAAGTTTGTTAGCAATATCTGATTTATTAGTCAATAATTGATTCCCATCTTTCAGATTGTGAATGCTAGATTGAGAACCCTTACCTTTGATTTTCTGGATCATGTTCCATACCTTCGACATTGGCGTACGTGAATTTATTTTTGAAACATAATTTTGCCAAGACTGGCGTTTGTTTTGTTTAAAAGTACGCCTTGCTTTAGCATTTAAAATTTTGAACTTATTTAAATTGAGAACCATAGGATGGCGACGGAAATACTGTTCAGCTTTCTTCCGGGCCTTCCTAGCTTGTTTGCAGTCAGCGGTAAACAATGGTTTACGTATGTGTGGATTGGAAGAGGACTTCGGAACACATTCATCAGCTATTTTAAGAAGTTCGTTAGAGAAGAGTGTTACAGGGTCGGGAACATCAGGAAAAGCACCAGGTGTTAGTTTAGTAGAACAACAAATTTCATACAAATCCCAGTTAGCTTTAGCAAAGTTCCATCGTGATGATGGAGGAACATCAGAAGGTGTCACAGATTTCAATATGGTCGTGAACTGACCATTCAAATTCACTCAGTAAACTAGAGTCAACAATGAATAAATCCAGACAAGAGTAAGTTCCAGTTCCTGGATGTAGATATGTATGAGAACCATCATTAAATATGCATAAATCGTTGTTTGAGAAAAACTCCTCTAAGATTTTACCCTTTGTATTGATGTTATTACTACCCCAAAGCGGGTTATGGCCATTTAAATCTCCCATGATGACACATGGCTTTGGTAGCTGGTCATATAATGTTTGAAGATCAACCTGTCGGAGGCAAAACGAAGGTGGAATATATAAAGAACACAGGGTAAAAACGATATTTAGGGTTACTCGTACAGCGACAGCTTGGAGAGGGGTATTTAGAGGAATGACGCCCTGCCTCACCATAACAGAAGATCCACCAGAAGCTTTATCACCTGGAGGAGAGAAGTGATGGTATGAGTTATAATATCTCAAGTCAAAATTATCTGTAACTTTAAGGAAAGTTTCCTGTAAGAAAAAAGGCTGATGGTTTTAGATCTTGTATTAATAGCTGAAAATCATTAAAGTTATTGCGAAGTCCTCTACAATTCCATTGAATTACATTAAGGGAGGAAGTCATGGTGGTTCAATGGGAGATCGAGCACGGGGAGAAGGTCCTCTTCGCTGATCTGGCAGCGATGGAGTGACCTCCATGTCCAGAGGTTCAAAGGTGTTGTGAACCTCTATAGGGACGGAAAAAGGAGGAGCCACTTCTAAGTGTTTAAGTGCCCTAATTTCTTTTTTTTGAGTTGTTTCCGTTCTTTGTTCGTGAGACGTTTCGGTTTGGTTACCGGTGCTGTCTGGGTTTCAGGGTCTGAAAGAATTTGAGGTGCTGGCAAATTCTTGGAGTCTGATGGAGTGTCAGACAATGCTGGAAGCGGATGGTCAGCTTCAATATCAGTATCTGTCTGAGTGGCAGCACCATTTCTGGTACCAGAAACACTGTACAAAACAGTTGGGTCGTCTGAGACCCAGGTGATTGCAGTTTGACAGCCTGATCAACCTTTGTGCAAGGAGTAGAAACGGCTGCTACGTACGTTTCTGCTTCATTGAAGGATATATTGTTGGTGTGCTTCAGTTTCAAAATTTGTGTTTGCCTTTCATATGCTGGACATAATTTGGAAAATGACATATGGTCACAGTTGCAGTTTGCACATTTGATTTCATTTGTGCAGTTGACGTTTTCATGTGTCCAACCACAACGGGAACAAACTGGGGAGCTGCGACATGACTTAGCTCCGTGTCCACACTCTTGACATTTGAAACATCGAAGCGGATTCGGGATATACACTTCCACATCGATGTTAAAATACCCAGCTTTTATTGATTTTGGTAGTGACGTGAGACAGAAGGTAAACAGGTAGGTATTGGTCTGAATGATATCATCACCGTTTTTCCTAGTGAATCTATTTACAGAGGTGACACCTTGGGCCTTCAGTTCAGAAGCAATTTCTTCCTCTGACATGTCAGCGAGACATTTAGCTCGATCACTGATTATGCCTCTGCAGGAATTTAGTGTTTTATGTATTGAGACAGTAATCCCAGTATTCGCAAATTGACGAGCTTCGAGCAAATTGACAGATTGCTGTCTCTTTGCACATTCAACTAACAGAGAACCTGTCCTGAGACGTGTGACATTTTTCACTTCACCACATATTCCAGCAATGGCTTTTGATATGGCAAAGGGGTTAAGCTTCAAAGGTTGTCCATCAATTCCCTCCACAACCAGAAAGCGTGGCCAGGAATCAATACTGACTGCGGTAGAATCATCATCAGAAGATGATAAAGCATCTGTTTCAACATGTCGTCTTTTAGTTTTTGATCGAGAACCAGTTAGAATTTAGGTAGCCATAATGAAAAACGGATATTCGACAACCCTGCTCCCCACCCACCATGGAGTGTCAACAAGAACGGTGTCGAAGTGGAAACCGACTCCGAAACACCAGGGCTACAGGGTTGTCATACTCGAGCAATACAGACACAGGTAGCTAAAATTGTCAAACAGAATAAAGGTCAGGCTGGTTCCGCCCATGGTTATTATCTGAAGACACATAGAACCTGGAGGTCAGTAATGCCAGATTGGCCCATGAGCCACCGCCTTCTGGCATAGGACTCTAGGCAGAGTAACGATTTTTCAACGTGAGAGTATCACAACATTATTTCGAGGAGAAGATACAGAGATATACATAATGTGAAGTTGACCATGCACAGGGCATGACATGACCAGCCGATTGGTAGAACCGGGCCCGTTCTACCACCCGTCTAGGTTAAGTAAGGGTCGAAGTGGTGTGTTGGGCAAAAGGAACACTGTTCCCGGCTCCTGTGCCCTCAACCACCAGAATCCCGTCCTCCACCGACACAGGGGCGCAACCCACGGCAAACAGGTTGCCCAATTCGGTCCTAGGACCAGCAATGGGGTGCTGTGGACCAAATATACCCCCGGGTCCGCAACGGGGGGTCGAAGAGCGCTTAACGTTACCCAGCACCCACCACGAGGAGGTGGCTCTTCACGGGTGCCAGATTAAATAGCAGCGGATATGTCAACGGAGAACGGAAATGAACTTTGGCTGTTAACGCCAGTATCTCCCAGTCAGGCTGGCCATGCTTGTGATGACATTTTCCGTTATCCATGTCCTTATGAGGGTTTATACGGATAACAATATATGGATGAACAACTTCATTATTACAATGAGAGCGATGTTTCGGTGTGGGTTCTAACATTGTTATGAAACAAGTGATGAACAGAATATGGACTGAGGTATATATACACCTTGAGTAGGTGTTTGTACAGTACAAAGGGAATTAGGACTGAAATTGCTTAGTTAAGTTACGTTAACGGTTAAGTTTGTCACACTTGTCGATATGCCTGTAAGGATTTCTGGCTTCCTTTATGTTTTACAACTGGCACTCCTAGCACGTTTTAGACCATCTTTGTCTCTATTTACTAGGGCATAATGTTTACATGTCCTTTAACGGTTATTAATTAAGTGAAAATATCATGCTTGCGCCACAGTTTATTCCACTGGTTCACATACGCACGTGTACACACAATCGGGTATAATATGTGAAAAGGGTGGGCCAAATGGTTTACATCCGCGTTAAGATCAACAAGACTAGGCCAAGTATTAAAGTGAGTGAGTGAGTGAGTGAGTGATTTGAAGTCACATCGGCAATATTTCAGCCATATCGTGACTATAAACAGGTTTTGAATTCACCATAAATACATGTACATTAGAAAAACCTGTCGACGAAAGACAATAAATCAACTAGAATATCACAGTATCAAGAAATAAAACTAGCATCTCTCTCTAAAACGTGATATAAAATTAGGACAACTCAGTATAGAAATGGACTATAGATCGCCAGCAACTGTAGGTACAGATGCAGCATGAAATAGTACATGTATTGAAATTATGTGTATAGTTTCATACAGGTCTGGAATTACAAATAGAAACGACCATGTCTC